TGAAGTTAAAAGCTGATTGGCTACTATGCAGAGCTGCACCAGCTTCTGCGTGCTCCAGTTTTAGTAAATCTCCCCCATGGCGTCCTGAGGGCATCATCCAAGCACAAATCATAGTAGCTATAGGAACAAAAGGGACTTTAGCCATAAACCCCCAGGAGAGTGCAAAATCAGGTGCAGCTCTGCATACACCAATCAGCTTCCAGACTTTATTATCAAAGCCCCCCCCCCCCCCCCCCGAAAACCAGTGGTGTTCTTCAATTGGCCGTTGGGTGCTGGCGACATCATCTTGTCTAAGGGAAACCGGCACACCAACGCCTGCCTACTGTGCATGCGCAAAGCGTGCTGCACTTTGTGAATGGGCCGCAGTCCTCTGGGACCTTGGAAGTGTCCCAAAGGACTGTGATGGGGGCCGACTTCTGTCTCAATTTGCCACGGAAAACTGAGTCGGAAGTGGGAGAGGGTACCTGTCAAAACCAGGTACCCCCCCAAAAAAGGATGCTAAAGGTGGCATCGGAAGGGGGGAAGGGGGGAGGAGGCAGAAAAGCGAAGCTTCCACTTTTGGATGGAACTCCGCTTTAATTGAACAAGCTGAAGTTAGAAGCTGATTGGCTACCATGCACAGTTGCACCAGATTCTGAGTGCTCCAGTTTTAGTTAATCTGTCCCTATGTGTCAGTAAGATGTCAGTAACTGCAATATGAACTTAACCACAGAGGAATCTGTTCTGGTTATTAGAGGCTGTAGATTACCTGTGATACAGACTGTATTAGTAGCCATCTTGAGAAGCATGTGTCTCAAGACTGGTACTGCGTACTCAAGCATCAAAGGGCATAAGCTATGCTTCTAAGCTATGGATCAGGGCAAGGTAGTAAATATTTGCAGATCCCAAAGACTGGCACTACATTTTCCACCATTAAAGTGATTGTAAACCCTCACCTTGTTAAACTACCCATTTAGTTTAACTCCTTGATGCCGATGGTACCCAAACATGTGGCCTCTCAGCAGCTGGGCCTTGACGCCGAGAGTCCAGATCAGTAATTTTGCGTACCCAGTGCAAACAAATATCTGCCAAGAGCGAGCGCACTCCCAGCACATTTACTGGTGCCTCACGGAAAAGCTTTCTTATCATGTGACCGCTGTGACAGCCATTGACGGCGGTCACATAACCCTAAACCCTGCCACACCTCCCAGCCTCACAAAGCCCTTAAAGTGCTGGGAGGCACTGGCGCCAAGGGGTTAAAATAGAAATAAAAGGCAAATCATTTGTGTATAGCTATAAAACAATATATGCACTTTTCTCTGCTTTATAAGTGATCACACTCCCTGTGTTCTCAGCTGTATAAGAGTTAGAGAAGGAGAAACAGCATCACACTGATCTTTCCCATGAATGGCTGTGCAGGGGGGGTGTCAGGACAAGTCTGATCAAGGAAGGAGAACAGGCTTCCCAGCACAGCTAGAGAACTGACCAGGTTTTGCTTTCATGCCTAGTGTGGTCAGTTTTTAATGGGAAAGCAGAGGGACTGACAGGAACACCAGGGATTTCAAACAATGGAAACAGTACAAAGAGAACTTTTTCATACAAGTACATGGTACAGCAGGCACATATCAGGAATATGAAATGTTAGGTTTACATTTTTTAATACTGGATTTCAATATGTAAGAATAATTGTATTTAAGGCCTACATTTTATTGAGATGGCTCCGCTAAAACAAAGTTTCCCTACAAAACATTCCATGGAATTTGTCCAGTTTTCCACCAATTTGAAATCTACTCAAACCATACCCAATTTGTATGTAAAACATTAATTTTTACGACGTTGCTGTAGATACATAGTTTAGTCATGTAGATCCTTCTAAATATGAGGAGATCCAGCTTTGAAATCCATCACTACTGACTGCACATTGATGTCTCGTATGTTTAGAACAATTCTGTGTGTTAGCTGGAATACATGACGCACAAGCAATCAGTAACTCCTCCAGTGGGATCAGAATGGAAGGTACTTATTAACTTCGCACATTATTTGGTGTCTACACCTGGGTAGTATTATAAGATGTGCCTTGAATAGGCAATAATAAGCAGCTCTTTATGTATTTTTAGCTTTCCTATCAAATTACCAAACTCAGTCATCCACTGTATTTTCCCACAATAATTCATAATGTACATTTCAGATGTTTTCTACTTAGTATAGGTGGGTGTAATCCCACATCTGAATACATTTTCTGGAATAAATGCTGACTAAAATACAAACATTAACTCTTCACTTACTCCGACTCTTAAGTCACTCCAGCTTTCATCAGCATCGTACTACGGTTATTTTCCACTAGAATTTGATGTATTTAATTGCTAGCTGAGACCCCATAAGCTCACTATGATACCCCTAGGATGTTGGCTCTGTTAGGTTGTATGCTATGACTGAAGAACATCAGCCTGGTTGACCTTCTGGAGGAAGGTGCAGGACCAGCCGCTCCACCATTAGTAGGACCCATCAGAGCGGTTTGACATATGGCAGTGCTGGGCACTGAAGATGGCTGCCTCTAGGAGCCCCCCACTTTATTTCTATCACCTGTTTTCTTGTCTAATTGGCTCCCTTTCATAAATACACTATGTTGCACTCTGGTTATTTTGTAAGAATTCTCTTGGCTGACTAGCTATAATGGAGGTTTAATGAGGAATTACCTTTAATGCCTACTGTTGATCCGGTAATCCCCCACAACAGCACCAAGGTCATTCAGTACCTTTTAATAATTGTAAGATATTTGTTGTTTCTACACCTAGAAATACTAAGTAGGTGTGGTAAAGAAGAGCCCTTTGAACTTTCCCCCCAATAGGTAGGCAGGGACAACCTTGCAATACTGAGGCTGTCATGGAAGATTACTGAAATGATTATTACTTAGAAGAACAATACTTAATTTGTCCTCCTATTTGTGATATTTTGTAAAGTGCTGCGGAAACTGTTGGCACTATATAAATCCCGTATAATAATAATAACCAGTGCTGCAAAGTAGAACAAAAAGTGCGCCAAATTGGGCATTTCCTCCGTAAACTGTGATTTTATTAAAATTAGATATATACTCACAAACAAAGCAGTAAAACAAGCGTATAAGATCCTCAAAGGAACATAGAAGTGCAAGACCAGTGCGAGTCACATCAAGAGGGGAGACTCTCAAAGTTCAGCTGACATGTTTCAAAGGGGGATCCCCACTAAGCAGGTGGATGACAGGTGCACGTCCGTTCCTCATATGTACAGTGGACACAGACACAGCCCGCTGTCCTCTATGGGTGGTCAGATGGAAACGCATTTTACTTCTGACTGTCATCTGATCTGATCTGCTAGAAGGATGGGGAGTAGATCCCCCATCTGTCTGTTTTTAGCGGATTGAATCGGATGCAGGCGGGTGTAAACAGACACATGCTGTTTACATCCACCGCTCCATAGAGAGCAATGGATGGTCCAGTTGGGGCCACCAGAAATAATGGACAGGTGGACCTGGAAGGTCCTTATAGTAGCCAGCTTTGGACAAAAAGTAAAGGTAAATCTCACTATGGGTGAGAGACAGCAGCGAAAGCCTGACCGTGTTTTTGACCCTTCTCTACTTTGGGAAGCATTATCCTTTAAAAGATTTAACAGTGTGCTATGTAAAAGAAGAATTCATCTAACTAGAAAGGCTTTGACTGCTTTTTGGCAGAGTTTGTTCATATAGAACAGGGGGCTCCAAACTTTCAAAGAAAAGGGCCAGTTTAGTGTTCTTTAGGCTTTAGGGGTGCTGGGCTGTGGCTGGGGGGGAGAGTAGAAAATGCCACGATCAGAGTCCCATCATTGGTTTTAATGGGAGGAAGAGTGCCCCATTGCTGAAATCAATGAGAGGAATAGTGCCCCATTGCTGAAATCAATGAGAGGAATAGTGCCCCATTGCTGAAATCAATGAGAGGAATAGTGCCCCATTGCTGATATCAGTGAGAGGAATAGTGCCCCATTGCTGATATCAGTGAGAGGAATAGTGCCCCATTGCTGATATCAGTGAGAGGAAGAGTGCCCCATTGCTGTTATCAGTGAGAGGAAGAGTGCCCCATTGCTGTTATCAGTGAGAGGAAGAGTGCCCCATTGCTGATATCAGTGAGAGGAAGAGTGCCCCATTGCTGATATCAGTGAGAGGAAGAGTGCCCCATTGCTGATATCAGTGAGAGGAAGAGTGCCCCATTGCTGATATCAGTGAGAGGAAGAGTGCCCCATTGCTGATATCAGTGAGAGGAAGAGTGCCCCATTGCTGATATCAGTGAGAGGAAGAGTGCCCCATTGCTGATATCAGTGAGAGGAAGAGTGCCCCATTGCTGATATCAGTGAGAGGAAGAGTGCCCCATTGCTGATATCAGTGAGAGGAAGAGTGCCCCATTGCTGATATCAGTGAGAGGAAGAGTGCCCCATTGCTGATATCAGTGAGAGGAAGAGTGCCCCATTGCTGATATCAGTGAGAGGAAGAGTGCCCCATTGCTGATATCAGTGAGAGTAGGAGTGCCCCATCATTGATGTCCTTTGATGGAATAGTGCTCCTAAGTGCAAGCAAAGGGCCACATTTGGCCCTCAGTTTGGAGACCACTAATATAGAAGATGTTAATGTACAATATGTTGACATGCCTTTTCAGACGTGTTCCATTCTGATTTTGAAAGACTTATTCATTTGGCAAAATACAGGTCAGATTAACAAAAATGCTGCATTTTTTTTTCCAGCGGGTTGGGTAGACTAAAAACAATATTTTTTCTCCTGTCCAAGCCATTTTCCTGTACCGAACGTGCAGACAAATACACGACAACTCATGCGGTGGAAACACGGGCTCGTGCATTTATCTTGTAATTCTTTGTACTGTCTCTTTTTGTTTAGAACTGACACGTGTTTGATGTTCTCGGCATTCTAGACATATAAACATATTCGTATTTATGTACTTTTAACACACAAAGCAAACATCAAAGGGGTACTACCTAAACTGTTTTTTTCTGCATTTTAGAGGCCGCAAGAAGAAAAATACCCTGTAGGACCTTGGCTTCTGGCACTGTTTGTGTTTGTTGTTTGTGGATCAGGTATGAATACAAAGCAAGGAATATTGCCATACCATCAATAGCTGTCAGTGGAAATTGAATGCTTAGCTTACTAAGAATTAATGAATGCATATTATAGTAGGTTCTGAGGGAAGGGGGAGACAGAGAATGAATCTCATGTACATATTACAGATGAAGTCTTCATTTATTTAACTGCTAATCTGCAGGTATTAACCTCTTAAAGAGGAACTTCACCTTAATCCTAATAATTACAACAAAGGCACTTTTAGAAATGTTTAGTAATGGCAATCTACTAAGAAATGCTTACAGATAATTGCAGGCTTCTTTATTCTTTGCATGCCTTCATTCTTCTCATGATGGCCATTTTTATTAAGGGTTAGATGAATCCATCTCCCTTTTACTTCCTGGATCTCTGCCTAGAAATCTGGGTCTTCCACTTGGATCATGTCACAAGAACTTCCCAGAATGCTTCAGTGAGGCCCTAGTTATATCACCAGTGCCTCACTTAGCCAGGAAGTGGAAAAACAGTTATTGTAAGTAAAAGCAAAAAATGATCAATGAGTTGAAGATGGTTTCACAACAGTGCAGAGTTGTATGCTGATGTGATTTTTTTTTTTTTTTTTTTTTTTTCGAAAGGGGGAAGGTCTGCTTTAACCCTATCATTGCCAGGTCCGTATGTTGTATGGACCTGACAGCAAGGGGTCTACACACACTCAGCCAACCTCTGGCTGTCAGAAGCAAGCAGTCTGGCACCTCAGTAGGCGCTAGATTACTTGCACCTCGCCTCTTGTCTTTTACACCCCAAATGTCTCATTAAAGAAAACCTGTCACCAAAAAATCATCACATAGGAGACTGTGATGGGGGAAACAAAAGTTAAGTAAAAAAGCATTTTTTTAAAATTGTAAATAATTAAAGTTACACCCAAGCACATAAAATCCCCTCCCAAAAAAATTGAGGCCCACCCCCACACTTAATGGAAACACATGTGTCGGGTGCGTCTACATATGCAAATGATACACATGTTACATATTGCCGCACACTCCAGAGTGAAAGTAATATTTCTAGCACCAGACCCCTCCGTAACGCTAAACTGATGACTTACAGGGTTTTTTTTTATAGATATAGGGTACTGACGTTTGTCACTATTTTCAGGGGCACACGCAAATTCAGGGTTTGACATGTTGGGTATCTATTTACTTGGTGCAACCTCATCTTTTATATTTTATCACAAAATGGATAATTTATTGCGTTTTGTGTTCCCCAAAATTAACTTCAGTGCATTTTTTACTGAAATTTTGAGTTTCCGAAACCACAGTAATATGTGATAGAAAACAAAGTAGTGGTAGTTCCAATTTCTATCTATTTTTTTTTATAAGAAAATATATGATGTTTGGGAGGTTTGTGCATTCTACAGACCTAAAATTATTAAACGTGTGCACAAAACGCAAAACTGGCAAAGGTTAGCTGGTAAATGTGAAAAGGAGCCTATTGCTTGCAAAGTAAAAGGGCTCAGTTACATCATCATGTTGTAACTTTGCTAAAACACAAGTGTTCAAGGCACCCCAATACTGCAGGGAAAACGCCCCCCCCCCCCCCATTTTTTAAAAATCCAGCTTGCTGCGCCTTTTGTTTAGTATTTGGGAAACACACGTTACATTATAATCATTGGTAACACATTGAAAATGCACTAAAAACTCAATACGCATTTAATTAGTGTGCCTTTAGTCACATATTCATGATTTTTCTTTGTGTCTGCATTTTATTTAATGGCTTAATGCAAGGTTTGGCTGAGGATTAGGGTGATTTAGGCTTGCCATCAGAGACCATAATGAACACCAATGGAAGGACTTTTTTTGCTTGCAAATATTTTCCAATTGTCAATCCAGGGAGACATCTACCCCTCTATGTATGCAGACAAATTTATGGAATTTGCTAATCTATAACCAACTTTATTTGTTCTGAGACAACCAACCTCCTTTTGCTTACATTTCTTCTGTATTGATAGATTAGTAGGTTCTGCACAGAATGGCATTGATGAAACTGACATTCTGCCATTATTTTTTGTAAGACCTGAGATCTCCCTCAAAGCATGTAATATATATTATATGGGTTTAGAATCTGTAATCCTGCTGTGGGGAGTGAAGGTAAAGACGGTTGCTAATCCAAGGCTGCAGACAACATAACAAATGCAGCATTGGCATTTCATGTAGTTTAAAAATATGTTATGTATAATGATGTTGTGGTAGTTTTGCTACATTTACATTGTTGAAAAACAACATGGAATAAGTTGGAATTCCACTATGGTTCGGATCTGGTGATCTACAGCAATAGCAAGCAATAATATATCCATACACAGCAATTGGTGTGTGGAGCTTTGGTTTATAGTATAGTCTAGCTTTTCAAAATCATTTTACCATGGTTGAACCTGTGGAGCTTTGGTTTATAGTATAGTCTAGCATTTCACAATCATTTTACCGTGGTTGAACCTGTGGAGCTTTGGTTTATAGTATAGTCTAGCATTTCACAATCTTTTTACCATGGTTGGACCTGTGGCACTTTGGTTTATAGTATAGTCTAGCATTTCACCATCATTTTACCATGGTTGGACCTGTGGCGTTTGGTTTATAGTATAGTCTAGCATTTCACAATCATTTTACCGTGGTTGAACCTGTGGAGCTTTGGTTTATAGTATAGTCTAGCTTTTCAAAATCATCTTTTTACCATGGTTGAACCTGTGGAGCTTTGGTTTATAGTATAGTCTAGCATTTCACAATCATTTTACCATGGTTGAACCTGTGGAGCTTTGGTTTATAGTATAGTCTAGCTTTTCAAAATCATTTTACCATGGATTGACCTGTGGAGCTTTGGTTTATAGTATAGTCTAGCATTTCACAATCATTTTACCATGGTTGAACCTGTGGAGCTTTGGTTTATAGTATAGTCTAGCATTTCACAATCTTTTTACCATGGTTGGACCTGTGGCACTTTGGTTTATAGTATAGTCTATCATTTCACAATCTTTTTACCATGGATGGACCTGTGGAGCTTTGGTTTATAGTATAGTCTAGCATTTCACCATCATTTTACCATGGTTGGACCTGTGGCGTTTGGTTTATAGTATAGTCTAGCATTTCACAATCATTTTACCGTGGTTGAACCTGTGGAGCTTTGGTTTATAGTATAGTCTAGCTTTTCAAAATCATTTTACCATGGTTGAACCTGTGGAGCTTTGTTTTATAGTATAGTCTAGCATTTCACAATCATTTTACCATGGTTGAACCTGTGGAGCTTTGGTTTATAGTATAGTCTAGCTTTTCAAAATCATTTTACCATGGTTGAACCTGTGGAGCTTTGGTTTATAGTATAGTCTAGCATTTCACAATCTTTTTACCATGGTTGGACCTGTGGCACTTTGGTTTATAGTATAGTCTATCATTTCACAATCTTTTTACCATGGTTGGACCTGTGGAGCTTTGGTTTATAGTATAGTCTAGCATTTCACAATCTTTTTACCATGGTTGGACCTGTGGAGCTTTGGTTTATAGTATATAAGTCTAGCATTTCACAATCATTTTACCATGGTTGGACCTGTGGAGCTTTGGTTTATAGTATAGTCTAGCATTTCACAATCATTTTTTACCATGGTTGGACCTGTGGAGCTTTGGTTTATAGTATAGTCTAGCTTTTCAAAATCTTTACCATGGATGAACCCGTGGAGCTTTGGTTTATAGTATAGTCTAGCTTTTCAAAATCATTTTACCATGGTTGAACCTGTGGAGCTTTGGTTTATAGTATAGTCTAGCATTTCACAATCTTTTTACCATGGTTGGACCTGTGGCACTTTGGTTTATAGTATAGTCTATCATTTCACCATCATTTTACCATGGTTGGACCTGTGGCATTTGGTTTATAGTATAGTCTAGCATTTCACAATCATTTTACCGTGGTTGAACCTGTGGAGCTTTGGTTTATAGTATAGTCTAGCTTTTCAAAATCATTTTACCATGGTTGAACCTGTGGAGCTTTGGTTTATAGTATAGTCTAGCTTTTCAAAATCATTTTTACCATGGTTGAACCTGTGGAGCTTTGGTTTATAGTATAGTCTAGCATTTCACAATCTTTTTACCATGGATGGACCTGTGGCACTTTGGTTTATAGTATAGTCTATCATTTCACAATCTTTTTACCATGGTTGGACCTGTGGAGCTTTGGTTTATAGTATAGTCTAGCATTTCACAATCTTTTTACCATGGTTGGACCTGTGGCACTTTGGTTTATAGTATAGTCTATCATTTCACAATCTTTTTACCATGGATGGACCTGTGGAGCTTTGGTTTATAGTATAGTCTAGCATTTCACAATCATTTTACCATGGTTGGACCTGTGGAGCTTTGGTTTATAGTATAGTCTAGCATTTCACAATCATTTTACCATGGTTGGACCTGTGGAGCTTTGGTTTATAGTATAGTCTAGCATTTCACAATCATTTTACCATGGTTGGACCTGTGGAGCTTTGGTTTATAGTATAGTCTAGCTTTTCAAAATCTTTACCATGGATGAACCCGTGGAGCTTTGGTTTATAGTATAGTCTAGCTTTTCAAAATCTTTTTACCATGGTTGGACCTGTGAAATATTCTACAGGTCTCAGGGAACACCTACCTAAATGTATTATATGTACAGTTTATGCTTTATTAGTTGTATATATGATGATAATAACATAATAATGAAAGAATTTGACACTCAGAGTGGATCATATTTTAACTTAAAATTAAAACCTTATTTCAGTAATAATTCTATGACATATTAGGCAGAAAAATGCAGACGATAAAAAATGTAGTGGGCATTTATATTGGTGGTCAGTGGAAAACCTCTCTTTTCATTGGTAATTAGTGGAATAGTGTTCATCTTACAAAGGAATTTGGTACAATAGTGCTCCTTTTGAAGAAAAGTGATCCGAGAAGAAAAGTTTCCCTTTACATTGGAGGACCAGTATGAGAAGTGCCCTTGTACATTAGTGGTCATTGGGAAAGAATGCTCTTTTACATTGTGTTCAGTAAAAAG